ATCATGCATATCTTACGATGCTGTGAACGCTTCACGAGCATGCGTAGTAGGGCAAGTGATCGATCTCGTTCGTATGCGATTACCGGTGACCTTGACGTTCAGAGCTGCATGGTTTGGATCGCCCGGTCTAGAAGTCCTATAATAGCAATTTAGTGTCATCGTCTTGTTATCGATTGTCTCCTTTCTCACCGGCGGGTAGCTCTGAGGGAAAAGAACTACTCCCACTCCTGAGCAGAAGTAAAGTAAGATCTAACTTTCTAACAGGCGTGTCCCTCGATGATTCCATAAACGCCCTCGGGGATCTCCAATTGACGTCCTTACCACGAACAGGGTGGGCAAGACAGCAGTCCTCATTGTACTACAGAGTGTCAGACTCGAAAACATAACGGCAGCAGATGCCGCACTGATGACGAGTTGCTTAACCGACATTTGGAAGATAACGTTCGACGCTGAATAGGCGTGATCAAAGTGGAAGGCCAACATTGTGTTTCCAAGCCCTCCACTAGAAGGCTCCGATAGAGCCCCATAGATCGATCGAGCGAAGGACGAAATCAACTGCTCTGACGGATCAGAGTTACAACCAGTGGCGCATACTCGGCGAGTGCTCAACAGCGGAATGCAAAGGAAATTTCGTCCCGCTCGAGCTACCGGATTGCCCGTCTCTCAGGGCGTGCAGCGAAAACCTCCGTCGATGATGTTCGATCATGGGAAAAGGCACCTAGTAGGTGCCACCTACTTGTGAGGCGGACTTACCAGAGTCGATAGTACTACCTCGGCGCTGCCGAACCTCACAAATGGTTTCTCATCGAATTCACACTGAGTTCGCACGATGCAGGATTCGCATTCAACGGAATGTTCATGGCAATTTGAACCTCACATGCCCAAGTTAGCGCTCTTATTGATAGTCACTCAAGGGAAATGCTTTGTTGTTGTTAAGTCGCCATATCATATGAGGTGCCACATCAGAGGTGCCACATCACATAGCCAGGTTGGGCGGAAGATCGGAGAACAGTCTATTATAGGTGATCCGAAAGTGCAATGTAACGGCCGAACGAGCACTGCTACGGAGAGCTGTCATGCTACTGTTAACTTTCTATGTATTATCTCCGTGAATAGTAGATATCTCCTGTTGATCTATTCCGTTTCATTTCATCGGTGTTTCCCCAACGTGGTCACTCTATCTCCAGGGACCACTCAGGGACCTCATACCATTGAATTCTTGAGCTCTGTGGTAGAACTTGGACTCACAAGAGATGCCTAGTGATCTACTCTTCTAATTTTGAAGAGTACAGATAGAGGTTTTCCAGAGACCAGCAGTGTATATCCAATAGCAGATATAATACTACAGAGAATGGCAACCGTGGGGTAATGGGGAATGTGATGCTTTCACGGTTACAGATTAAGGCGATCGATATACAAAGATACTGAGAGTGAGGAGCTTACGAACCTGACAGACTGAGGTTTCCCACCAAACAAGCCCCACATCACCTTGGTATTTACTCATTGCACCAAATAGCGTAGTTGATAAGTTACAGCTATAACGGGGTGGCGGCCGCTCGTTGGGGGGGCCCAATGGGGGCCGAGGCTTGCCCCATGTATATCTTGTGTGTATTGTGAGCTCACTTTAGACTCCAATGAATCGTTAGAAGTTCCGACACTTGCGCGCATCGAATTTGCGCCACGCATCAGGGGCACGCATACCGTGTCACCGTATGCGTGACACTCACGCAAAGCATTCGTGCCCACTGAGTACCTAACTCAGCATTGCCATCGAAGAGATCGGGCCGATTATCAGCAAATAGGTGTTGGTCTCATTACTAAGACCATCAATCGTTAGACATTAGCTACAATCTCGGATACTTGGTTGCGTTCAGTCGAGAAGGTTACGCCGTTGCAGGCAGTTGTGCAGGTGCAAATCCTAACTCCGCGACGTCGTCACAGTGATATGCCAAACCCACTAGATTAAGTTAACACTGACCCGAATAGAGCCGAGGTAACCAATATAGGAGTTCTAATAATACTATGAAATACTCACGAATCAACTAGCGTCACAGCTTAAAGATACTGCGAGCTGTACGCCAGAGACACAACGGGGACAGGGTAGAGACGGTCCGGCACATCCGTCCTCCCCAAGCGTGCTCAAACTGTTGAGCACCATCATATTATAATAAGGATAATAATCTATGCAAAAACGAATCACATCAATGGGGACAAGACTATCAGGCTTCAATCGAATTCAGCCAACACTTCAACCTCTTAAGTTCCGACCTCGTTCTCAGCATACCAAGGGGGAATTAAGGCTGCTCAATAAAGACAGTCATAGGGTCTCCATTCACATCAATAACCGGCTCGATAATATTGGCTCCAGAAAGTCGAAACACTTGGAGTTCCTTAAGACTAATCGGATGTCCAAATAGTCGATTGGGTAATCCATAAAAAGCTTCGACCTTGATATCGTTGCCATAACAATCACAAACCGGACCAACAGGACTACTATTAACTGTATCCCCGTCCTCCCCGAGCCAAGGCTTCAAGTTACGTTGATGCTGAACATAGGGAATCTTAGAGCTGCCTGTGTCAACATCATAAGTGGCTGATCCAAGTACTCTTCTCACCACATAAGGCCCTCTCCAAAGGTTGTCCAGCTTGGTCTTCCTAGGATTTCGGACCAAAACCAAGTCACCCTCATTAAAATTATAAGAACTTGGAACAGCTGGCTGTTGAAGCTTCTTGGCATAAGCAGCACGGTTCCTTTCCCAAGCTTCTGCCCATAACTCATGGATCTTACGTCGTCTTTCAGCAAACGACTGCAATATCTTCTTAACGGTATCAGAGGAGAGCTCGCTTTTACCTAAACGATTGCTCAACTCGGACTGAGGGGTCAGCAGAGCCAGATCCAGAGGGAAGCAAGCATCATAACCAAAGACCAAAGAATGAGGAGTAAAGCCAGTATCTTCATCAATCTGAAGATTCAAACGAAGTTGTATCAGGGGTACATCCAGATGCCACTGTGAAGCTGACGATTCAACAGATAAGCTACGCAAAGCAGCTGCTATGGACCGATGGCGAACCTCATAAGATCCTCCAACCCATGGGGACCTGGACATAATCGTACGACTCCGAAAACCCCATGATTGGAGTGCCGCCTGAACGGTCTCAGTAAGCAACTGACTACCATTATCATGTATGGCCGTCCTCTGAGCAACTTTCACATCCGACGGATACCCCCAGCGGGCACAAATCAGAAGAATACCTCTACTCACATCTTCAGCACATGCTGATCTGAGACTCACCAATTCAGTGTAACGAGTTAATAAACAAGTAGCACTGAGTATATAGCGCGCCCCCGATGATGAGCAAGGTAATGGTCCATAAAGGTCCAAACCGATTGTTTGCCAAGGACCTGGAGGTTGGTCAAAACGTTTAGTCTGATTTTGATGACCACCACCACCAGTACTCAGCTGACAAGCTCGACAAGAACGAACCCACATAGATATAAGACGACGCATCTTCGGGAACCATACAAGCCGACGTAGTTGATTATGGACTAAAAGACTACCACCATGCTGTAGTTGATGATGAGTATCTTCAACTAGCTTACGGCAACGCGGATGACCACTCGGAAGGACGAACTGAGAATAAAAATCACCTGTGGGTCCTCGATCACATCCTCGCTTCAAAATGCCGTCAGACACGTAACAACCATATGACAAGCCCTTCTCAGCTGGGGTCATTGATACAATATCATTAGCCTGCAACTTACAAACGACTCCTTTAATAAGAGGGTCCGCTTGTTGAATCTTCCTAACCTCATCGATATCCAGAGGCTCCAAGATTGAAGCATTGGATACACCAATATGAGCAACAGTCACAGAAATGTCTTCATGTAGTCTAGAAAGCCGGTCTGCCGATACATTGAGTCGACCAGGAATATGTTCAATATCAACCGTCAAATTAAGGTTACGTAAAGACACCATCAGCTCTCGAACCGTCTCATGTAGTCGACGTAGAACTACATAATCAATACCACGATTTGACTTAATCTTAGGGAGTCCGATAGTCTTCGCCACAGTGCTATCGGTAGAGATTAAAACCTTTTTCAACGAAGGAAGGAAGCCTGCTTCAACAAACAAGAGTATTTGCTGACACGTCTTCGCCAGACAAAATGTTTCACGACGATTTGCATGCCAGGCATTCTTCGGAAAGCACTTGCACTCAGCATACCAAATTCTCGAAGTAGATGTTATCGAAGGAGTTAAAGAAAAGACCATCCCATAACCACCTGCCGAGGCATCACAGAAAACAAAAAGATTCTCGCAAGCCAACGGCAACGGGACCTTCATACGACGATCAATATTCCAATAATACAATGCCTTTTGGAGATGGAGTCGACACACCTTTAGAGTCTTGGCATCCAAGGGCTGATCCCAAGATGTAATCTTACCCGAATAAGACCGCACTTTATCGGCATGACCGCGAGCTAGAGTATCGTTCCAGTATCGTAGGCCATCACGGAACCATCCAGCATACTGGGAACATTGTCTCTTCGAAGTCACAGCGGCAGGGTCGAATTCTATAGAAGGCCGCTCAACCTCGAGGCTTAGACCATCCCACCACCAAAGAAAACCAAGCCACTTCGAGCCTGAGGCATTCTCACTGGCACTCTCCCAAGTTGCCCGTTTCTCTGAGGGGGCATCAAACCCAAAAAGGGAAAATACGATACTCAAAGCACTCTCTACTGACGCAACTTCTGATGGTAGACCCACCAACAGAATGTCGTCAAGTAGTCTCACTATACTGACGCCACCACAGTCAACCAGTGAGAGGATAACATTAATACTAGTCTCCAGGGAAGACGGTCCACATGAGAGGCCAAAACACAAGCGACGTGTTCGATATACAGCAGAACCAAACCGGACCCGGACATCATGACGGATATGGATCTTCAAAAAAGCTTTTCGAAGATCCAATTGGCGTACCACATAACCAGGCCTCAAGGCTGAAAGCAGCAAACGATGACACTCGAAAGTACTATTCACTCGCGAACTAGCCGGAGGTGATCCCCTATTAGGAATCCTAAAGTCCAGGACTGGCCTAATAGGGGTCGGCTTTAGTAATTGGCGAATTGGAAAGGCAGTCCCCTCCGCCATACCTTTCGGACGAGCACCATCATCTGGAGTCCACCACCCATTAGAGAGATACATATCAGTCTCCTTCTTCAAGAGAGCCTTCTCGGAAGATTCCAAGGAATTCATCATACGAGTCGAGTCCCATGAAGCTTTAGCAGAGGGCTCCATGGGCCAGTCAATCTCGAACTTATAACGTTGTTCCGGAGTATCCAGAGCATCACCTGTATCACAACGAGAGATGAACAATTCATACCCAGGCGCATTCTCCACAGGAATAGACTTCTTACCAAGATCACTGACAAGTTGGTCAATGGTCTTCACCATGCAATTAATGGTCACCTCACTGTGATGGACTCGATAACACCCCTCAGTGGGAAAAATAAGAGGTGGAACTGAGATTGGCATAGTAACCTTCACACCCAAATCGCGCGATGGAAGTGCAACAAAATCACCCTCATGAGGTACTGAAGACTCGGAGAAATCTCCGAGAGCGGCATCCGATTTATGCCATAGAAGAAGCGAAGCATTGATATCCGAAGTCTCACCTTGACCAATAGATTGCACAAAATTCGTTGACACCGGCAGGGAGCCGCTATCCAATGCAGTCGAAGGGCAAAGGAAAGAAGGGCATTCTGCTTCTTGATATCGATCAGAACACATCTTGATCATATCTCCGGAGGAAGTACCACTCGCAGCAAGAAGACTCGTGAGCATGATCATACCGGCAGCTTGCAACATCGCAATGCCATTCCGACCAAGCAGAACTGAAGGCCGAGCGCGATTCACAGAGAGGAAAGGGAGAATAATACTCTGCCCTAGAGAATCCGAAACTGGGATCAAAACCTCCTCTCGTGCTTCGATGCCTGAAGTTGCAATCCCGCTCAGAACAATTGTACTGACCGGGAAACGTTTTATGCCAACCAGCTCGGGGAGCAGAGACGAATCAATCAGACTAACGTCCGCCCCAGTATCCACTAAGCACGACAGCTTTTTCCCAGAAAGGAAAAGGTCGACAGTACAGGGTGAAAAGGGGACAGACGTAGAGATTGGAAGCTTACTAGCCACATCTACCACATGAACATCTTGTTGTTGCTGACCTTTACCAGAACGAGTAGCAGTACAAACTGATGATCGATGGCCTTTACCAGCACAATAACCACAAACTAAATCGTCAGGGTTAAGACTACAAGCATCGGTAGCATGATAGTTGCCACAATTACGGCATCTCGAAGAATATTCGGCGATAGCCCCAGCTTCACATTTATTGGCATTATGATTTTCACCAAAACAGCGATAACATCGACCACGAGGTATAACTTTCTTTGAAGAAACCGTAGTAGACTGATCAACATCCTTCTGTTTAGGGTTCTCCTGCTTCAAAGAAGACTTCGTAGAATGCTTACGGCTACCATCCTGTCGATTACCACTCACCGCAGTCGTTGAAGAAGAGATGGAAGGAGAAGATAAACCGGCTGCTTTCTTCGTTAAGTCTTCAAAGAAAATCAGATCAGACTTGATCTCTTCCAAAGACAAAGAACGGACACGGCTACCATGAGACTCTTGCAGCTTTAATGCTAAAGTTGGGTCTACAGCATCCAATAGTCTCGCAACCAAATCAACCTCTTCTAGAGTGCGACCAGTAGCACTCTCATAAAACGACTTCTCCTTATCAAAGGTAGCCAAAAAAGCACATATTGACTGAGGTTTTTTATGAGTAAACGAATGCCATCTACGTAGGGCATCCGAAATAAACCGACTTTTACCAAACCGAGTATCCAACGTAGAAAAAATCTTCTCCAGAACGACTTCTATCGATGTGGAAATACATTCTGGAGATTGGATAATACCCCAAAGCTCTCGACGAACTGAATCACATACAGCGCGAAGAACATAGTGGAGAGCTGTTACACCCTGCAACCGCATAGCCGCCAACTGTAGCTTCATATCCTTCTTCCATAAATGGTAGGGAAAGGTCCGATCATCGGGTTTAAAAACAGCCGGTGGAGGCAACTCATAGGCCAATTTAATTGCCCTAGAATCCTTCGAAGAAACTAACTTTTCGTCGGAACCACTATCAGATAAGGCGCGAACTCGCACATATTCTAATTGTACTTCACGAGCATTCGGAAGGTCAAGTCCAACTGGAAAACGAGAGATACCAGCACGTCGTTGCAAAAGGCGTACAGCTAGTAGAATTGTTAACTCACACATAGCATCGAAACCAGGAGCCAAGCTTTCCACCACGAACACAGCCCAACCAAAGCATTGCTTCATACGATCGGCGATAGAGCTCTGGGACTCCTTCTCATCTATAGACCCAAGATTATCATCAATAGCAACAATCAAGGCGTTCACAGCTTTAGAATGTTGAGCAGAAGTAGTAGCAGCTTCAATCGCCGCAAAATCTTCTTCCAACCCACCCAACTTGAAGCTAATAGGTAGACACTCATCAAATAAACGTTTAATGGTGTTATTCTGAAGCATCGGGTACCAAATATGCCAAACCCACTAGATTAAGTTAACACTGACCCGAATAGAGCCGAGGTAACCAATATAGGAGTTCTAATAATACTATGAAATACTCACGAATCAACTAGCGTCACAGCTTAAAGATACTGCGAGCTGTACGCCAGAGACAAACGGGGACAGGTAGAGACGTCCGCACAGTGACGATTAAACTTGTGCACGCAGAGTTTCAAGGGCGAACGTGAATCCTCCGTGAGAATTGCACCACTTCCGTGAAAAAATGAATCCACTCTCCACTATATAACCTCAGGATTTTTCGAATATTCCCCAGGAGGGAGCTATTCTCTCTCCTGGGGGATATCCGTCCTGGATCACGTCAGGTTGCTGTGATTGATGTGTGAAGGTGACGCACAAGGCTGTGTGCAAGTTGGCATGCACACGTGAATTGATCGATCTTCCCGTAGCTAAAACCAGGCCAACCGCCCAAAAAGTATTGTCACGTTGTTTGTGAGAAAATTCGCCAAGCCGGCTGTGGACAGCATCGAGTGATGACTTCTGTTTACTTTTTGACAGATATTCAGGCTCGCTTAGTTCCCGGCCATGAGATCCGCCGCAGCTGCACTCATAGTCTTCTACTTATCAGCTTTGTCTATCCCGGGCACCGAAGGGATCCTAAGTGGAAGATATGAATATAATGGGAAATTATCTAAAGAAGAATTGAGGATATCATACGTTATCTCTTCTAAGAAAGTCGTCATCACTTTTTCCTGCGGTTCGAAGAAGAAATCTACCTATAAGTTCTCTTACCTAGAACAAGGAGATAACGCAGGGAAATTGAATTTGGACAAGGAATACGAGGAGTACTTAGACTTATTTGATGACTTCCAAGATAAGTGCCCCAAATGGGGCGAAGATGCGGAGGTGGGCGACTTGGCGACTTTCTCGTCTACAAAGAAGGGGATTGAAATACTTCTAAATCCGTATAGATTGGAGCTGACATACGTCTGAAGATTAGTATGTACTTCCGGAGATACTTTTTATGACTTTTTATACCCTTATGAAGCTCTCTGGTGATGAAGATTTACGAGTTGGTTGAAGGACCAGCATCCTGGACGCTTTACCGATGAGATGATCGATCATTGGATGTTAGCTATGACCAGTAGGCTCATTATGAACCGTTCATTAGTCGGGCTGAGATCTATTTGTTATGTTCGTCAATCTCCCGGGGCCTCACGTCATCGCTGTCGTTCTTCGTATCAACTGGTACTTGAACCGATAAAGAGTCCTCGCTATCATGAACAACTGATCAACCGTTGAACAGTCCGAACCTACAGATACTTCTGCCATAGTAACACAACCTCAGGTTGTGATACTATGCGCCACACTTTAACCTTGCCCAATAAATTGACCTATCATCTAGACTCTAGAGTATCGCTACGCACGATTGCACACTCTCCTGCCGTCGATGTCCCGGGCGGACAAATATCTCATGAATGCGCAGAAACGCCAACGTCCAAGGCACTAGCATCGACAAGCCCAGACATCGACGGTTCCCTTATTCACCATGCAGAACTTGAGACTTATTTCTTGTTGAAAGACGTTAGCTATTAGTCAAGGCAGCTAGCTAACACATGGATAGCACTATTAATTTAATAGTATTAAACTGGTATCACAATATTGTGTTGGAAGTATCTATGAACTTGAAATTCATTTTGTGAATACTTCGTCAATTTTAACACTCATTTACCTTAACGTGTGTGAACGATCTCTCCTGCATATATTTTGGGTAGTAGTGATAGTAATTACCGTTGCCGAGAATTGAACCTGGCTCTTTCCCTTCGGTGTAGCAACATCCTCCCCGTTCCGCTAGTGTTTTAATTCAAGTCGATGTAAAATACCTCATCATATATGGCCTGTATTGTATAACCCTAAAGATATGAAATATTATAATTAACTAAATATGCAATACATCAACTCGTAAGCGCTCCTTTGGACACATCAACTTTCTTGTCCAAAGTATAACAGTTGACAAGGTGTCAATACTCAACCCATGGGCCATGTTTCGACAACCCAATGTTGTGCCAGTGGCTCGACCATTGTGCCACATTGTTTCCTTGTCCCCCAATTTTCGGTCCGAACACAATTGTCCCTGCGTGCTAAGGTGCTGCAAAGCTAGAGCTAGTAGTAGCTCATACGTAGTTCGTAATTACAGTTGTAACGTAACGTATCCCGATACGTTCTACTCTATTGTACGTCCGCTCTCGTACAAGGTTATCTCTGCTCACTTGTCGTGTATTGAGTTCCATTATTAGGAGGTTACTATCCCTACATAATTTGGTAGCAGCTCCTTGTTCTATTCGACAACTTTCACTCCAACGACATTTGCTTGGTTATGGCTGGTGACAACGTTAACAACAATTCCGATACTGATCATGATGGTACTATTCCCCGTGATGAGGTGGATCCTCCTGTGGTGAACACTAATGCACCTTCGGCTACTTTGAGTACTAATAATGATGCTATGATCAGCGTGCCTAGTATAGGTCCATCGGCACAGACTGGTGCGACGACATCAACATCAACGACTAATAACTCTAGCGCCATGCCTAACATCCAGACGACCTCTTCAACAAGCTCTCCGGTTGTGGTATCTACGGCTTCTAGTGAGTCTATTCTTCCTGTTAGGACGAAGCGACTCTTTGTGCCCGTTCCTGAGAAGTTTGCTAATAAGCCAACGGACAATATACGTGATTGGTTCGAAGCTTATGAGCTCTATACCTACGGTAATCTCTATGATGATCGTGCTCGTGCCCGTTTCCTGGGTGCATTCCTTACTGGTGACTCTGCTAATGTTTGGAAGACTCAGTGCTCTAAGGTTAATTACGAAGCTGACAACGCAATTCTCATTAAGACTTTTGAGAAGTGTCGACTGCCTGATGAAGCTTGGAGTCGGTTTGATAACTACCAGTGGGATCGCATCCAACCATTGTCGGTTTATGCAGCTGCCCTGTCACGATACTTGAACGAGTACAACGACTTGCTGAAGCCTGATTGTCGACTTTCGCTACCTGCCAGAGAGACTCTTTTGGTTGAGAAGTTATCTAAGTTGGCTACAGGCGCGGCGAAGGCTGAGATTCGTCGAGCCCGTCCTCGGAGTGCTGCCGATGTTTGTGACCTTTTGGGTGCCTACGTTGACAACAGCGATCAGACTGGTATTAATGCTGTCCGTTCTATAGAACCTAAGCTAGATGCCAGTATCGAGATGTTATCCAAGCTACTTGGTGCCTTTGAGGGTGCCCAGTCGCGACAAGTTGAGCAGTTTGATCGACTTTGCGCCGTTTTGGGTAATCCACAGCCAAAAGGCCAACCTAATAGACAAGCAGTACAAAATGGCCAACAACGACGACGAGGTGTTCGTAGATGTGGTATTTGTTCTGGCCCTCATCTAACTCTGGAGTGCTTCCACAAGAAGTTTACGGTTGGTTGTGCTATTTGTGGGAACACTGAGCACTTCGCTCGTAATTGCCCACTGCATACTACTTTCTTGGCTGGTCTACAGGGCAGTTCGCCCCCTCCGCCGGGAAACTAATTCGACGACCGGATTGCGGCTCCCGGTCGTCGGCACCGATATCCTTCTGTACTTTTGGCGAGTCTAATGGTCCTTTTATTTTTGCCCGTGTAAATGCTGGAGATGCCCGTTCTCCGGTTATCAGGGCTCTGATTGACTCTGGTGCTCGTATTACGGTTGTTCCTAAAAGGAATCTACCTAAGGGTACTCGACTACAACCTGTACTTACTCATGCCGGCTCCGCAGATCCCGGCAATCCTATTCTGCTATTAGGCTCTGCCATTGTAAGATTAACGTTGTATGATTCGCCTAATGTAGGCAATGGTAGTAATGTTTACTCCGACTTCGTGCCGCGGGCCGGTAGTAATTGTGTAAGTTTTGAATTTAAGGTTTATGTGGTAGAAGATTTAATTTGTGATATGTTGTTGGGCTTCGACTTCCTTTGGCATTATGGGTTGTCCTTACAAATGGTCGAAGGTTATGTCCGTTTGGTTGGTACTCGTGACCCTCTGTTGGGTCGGTATCGTGAACCTCTACCGGAACCTGATGCAAGGAGTGTGAGTGTGTCGCTGCCCTTCGCCTTGCTTGGAACTACTGGTTCTGCGGGTGTACAACCCGTTCTTCCGACTATCTGCTCTAGGGAAGCACTTGGTGTATGTACTCGTAATGTTTCTACCCAGACTACTGGTATGATCGATGAGTCTGTTCAGACGGTACCGTTCAAATCTAGCACAAGTTCTTTGGAGACTGTCCCCAAGAACCCTGTCCGTTGTGCTAGGACTTGTGAAAGTCCGCCTGACGTTGTGATTGGCAATGGAGCTAGCTCTCTATACTCTCTTTGCCGATACTCTGATGATGGTACCTTTACTCTCACCTTAGTTTTGGTGATGGTGATGGTGATGAAAGTCCTTCCCTGGCTCAGCGTAGGGTTTTCGCTGACGCTGGGGCTCCTATCTGTTTGCTGCAACCCCCTGATCCGTATGAATTTTATGATGACCCTAAGAAGGGCGGACATACTGGTTTTGAACAATGGCCTGCAGGAGACCAATAGATCTACGACGAGTTCGAGAATGATGACATAGGTGGTAATTTGGACGACTATGCGGTTCCATTACTGCCCGGCCCTGAGGAACCTGACGTTGTATTGCCCAAGCTACCGGTATCTGACCGATCGGGTTTTGTCCGTTGGTCACTCACGACATAAAGACCTTTGATGAGCAGCCGATGGCGCAGCGTCCGAGACGCGTACCTCATAAGTGGCAAGCTGACATACGAGGCCAGATTGATGATATGTTGAGAGAAGGGATTATTCGTCCAAGTATGAGTCCGTGGCGTTCACCTTGTGTCTACGTTAAAAAGAAGACTGGAGGTGTCCGTATCTGCGTGGACTATCGTGAACTAAACCGTCGGTCTCACATGTTCGCTTACCCCCTTCCTCGGCCTGACTTCGTGCAGGACGATTTGAAGGGTGCCCGTTTCTTTACATCTCTGGACCTGAAGTCTGGTTACTGGCAAGTACCCGTCTCTGCTGCTGACATCCCGAAGACCGCTTTCTGTCCGGGAAATGGTTTTCCCCTCTATGAGTTTTTGCGTATGCCGTTTGGTCTACATGATGCTCCAGCTACTTTCCAGAAACTCATGGAGGACATCCTAGGCGACCTACCATTCGTCAAGATCTATCTTGATGATATTTTGATTTTCTCACCGGACATGCAGACTCATGTTCGGCATCTTCGTGTGGTCTTCGAGAGGTTGTCCGCTGCTAAGGTAACTTTGGGTGCTACTAAATGTGACTTTGCCATGGAGGAGATATCCTACTTGGGCCACATCTATGACAAGTTTGGCGTGCGTCCTGATCCTGATCGTGTCCGTTGTATAATGGAATGGCCATTACCTGAGACAGTTCGTGATGTGAGACGGTTTATGGGACTGGTTGGCTATTACCGTTCTTTCATTCCACGTTTCACGGCTATGGCCAAGCCAGTGCAGGATCTGGTCAGCTTGTGTGCCGACCAACCCGACACTATTCGCCTACATTGGAAAGAAGACCAACAGCGTTCCTTTGAGGCCCTTCGTTCGGCCTTGGCCGGTTTGCCCGCTCTCGCCTACCCTGACTTTGACGCCCCCTTCCAGTTATGTTGTGATGCAAGTGACTTTGCTATTGGCTCTGTCTTGGAGCAAGAACATCGTCCGCTAGCGTTCTTTTCTCAAGTTCTTACGGGTGCTCAGCTTCGGTGGCACACGTATGAGAAAGAAGGTTATGCATTGGTCCGTTCGCTGGAAAAATTTCGTCACTACCTACTGGATACTCCGTTCAAGGTCACGGTATTCTCTGATCATCGGCCCTTACAACAGTTGGCTAAGTCGAAGTCCCCACGAGTCGAACGTTGGTTGCTGGCTATGCAAAACTTCCGCTTTGAAGTCCGTTACAAAGAAGGTGTTAAGAATATTAATGCCGACGCCTTGTCCCGACCACAACTGCAAGTTGAATCCAAGACCCCTATTCCTACTAAGCCTTGTCCCGTCCGTTCAAATCTCGAGGTTGTTCCTCCAGATTCTGTGGTGGTTGCAGAAGATCCGGAATTGTCAGGCTTGTTACCTGACACTATTAAGGATCCCCTGATTGCCACAGTGGTTTTGTGTCCGTTATGGTCATGGGATAAACTTCGAGAAGCTCAAGAACAAGACCATGTGGTTTGTGAAGTTCGTGATCGAGTCTTAGTGGATGCTCCTTTGGGTCGTAAGGAATTCACTTCTTGTCTATATATGCCCTATAGGCGTATTTGGTCGGTCCTGGATGTCTGTGAAGGTGTTCTTGTTCGCCTTTTGAAGACAGACCCACTTGCTCCCGTCCGTTGTGTAGCCATCGTTCCTACTGCGTTGAGAGGCGAAGCTGTAGCCTACTTCCACGATGAGAAGGGTCACTTTGCGGAGAAACGGATGCTGGAGAATATGAAACCGGTGGTTTATTGGCCTAATATGCATGTCGATATCAATGAGTACCTACAGAAGTGCCCTGGTTGTCTTGCTGCCCGTGCTGGTCGTCCGACTCCATCTCCTTTGGTACCGGTACCGGTTGGAAGGCCATGGCATACTTTGGCTGTTGACTACTTGGAGATCACGCCTGCGGTTAACGGTAAGAAGTATTTGTTAGTCTTGCAAGACTACTTTACTAAGTGGGCTGAAGCTTACCCGTTAGAGCGTGCTACGGTAGAAGAGACTTTACCTCATCTCTTAAACCTCTTCTCTAAGTTCGGCCCGCCTGTCCGTATTCACTCTGATCAAGGTGCCCAGTTTGAGTCTGCCCTCTTTAATCGGGTTATGGAAGCTTTGGGTATTAAGCGATCCCGCTCATCCGTTTACCATCCTCAAGGTAATGGACTGGTAGAGCGATTTAATCGTTCGTTGCTGGATATGCTACGTCGTCATATTGGGATCCCTGATTGGGTCTCCCATTTGCCTGCGTTACTCTGGGTTTACAATACTTCTATACACTCGGTTACTGGGTTCAGCCCCTATAAGTTGATCTTTGCTCGTGATCCTCCCTCGGATTTCTTGCCTATGCCAATGGCTGCCACAGATCTCATGTTTGACCCTGCTACCTATGAGGCCTATACTGATGCTGTCCGTGCTTACTTAATGGATCAGGTCGATATGGCTATTACTCAAGCAGCGGGTAATGCTAAGCGGCATTATGATCAGAACCTTGTCCCGCAAGGATTCTTTGTTGGTGCCCGTGTTCTGTTACGGCTGATGAAGCAACAGAGACCTACTAAGCTCTCCCCTATGTGGGAGCCTAACTGGTTTATCACTCAGATCATAGGCTCCACTGATCCTATTAAAGTTGTCCGCCTATTTCATCTCCCGACAAGACGGGTTAAGGTTCTAAGTGTTGATCATATCAAGGTTGATCCTCTTCAACCTGATAAAATCGAGGAGATTATGCAAGAGCTTCCTCCACCTCCTCGTGATCCTCGTGAACCTACCCCGCCTAGTACTCATGGTTCTGTCATAGTCTCCTCTGATGGACTTCCCCTAGAGCAACCCCATGTCCGGTTCGAAGGATTAATTGGTGCAAATGATGCAGTCTTTGCACCACCAAGGCCTCAACAACCTGTTGTTCGTCCGGGTAATCTCATTGGTGAAGAACAACGGTCAACTTTACAAGTTGGTCCTCAACGTCCTAATTGGCAAGGACTTGACTCGTTTCGCCCGCAAGTTGTGGTGACTGGTCCTCCACAAGTTGCTCCTGCGTATGTTACAACTCCAGAAGTTCGCCAAGAAGCTCAACGTGATGATAACGGTCCTACCATCGAGTTGGTTCCGACCTCGCCTAGTCCAGCATCAGTGGTAGCTCCTGCTGGTCACCAAGCATTATCACCTGCTGACCCTCCCTTGGCGTCCGTTCTTTCGGGTGGTACTACAAGTCAACCACCTCCTGTAAGCTCTCAGGATATTGGCCCTGCTAGTGTCCAGTCTGACATTCAAGGCCACTCTCCGGTTGCCTCTACTCCTGTCGGTTCGTCTGTTCAACTTACTTCCCCGGACTCGGTTTGTATTCCTAGTCCACCGGCCACTGCTAATAATGACGTTAGCAATGAGCAAGTTTCGGAAGTAACGCCCCTCACGACCCCTAATTTGTCTATGATGGATGCCCGTTCTGCTCCATCATCGCCGTCTCAAACGTCATCTGCTGTTCCCGAGCAAGACTCAGTGTCAGTTGCTTCTAATCGGGACTCTACTGTCCCTAATGTGGCCTCAGATGTAGACGAGTCCGTTCCCGAGGAAGAAGTGTCTGCTCCCGTAAGGGAATCTACCATAGTGTCTATGCCATTATCCCGACCTCGGTACACTACTAGATCCCGAACTGGTACTCTTCCTGGTCCTCGAGAACGATTCTCATCTGATACCTATATTCCACTTGCACTACGACCTGACCGTTCTTCGTCTACCTTGAGTGATGCATGTAGTCACGAGACGAACTAAGGCGACGGCCTTAGTTCTGGTAGGGAGGAAAAATGATATGGAATACGGAGCTACGTTTTGCGGGCCCCCTCTTTTCCATTCACTATTCCCTTACTACCCGGGCTGGAGTACGATCATCCGTTTAGCGGATATCCTCTTCTCCCGTCCGCTTCCCTGGTGACGTCATTTACTTCTGGTTGCTGGTTTCTAGAGCCATAACGAAGTGAACGATAACTGGTGTATTATGATATTCGGCAAGTGCTATGATAGCATAACACTATCTCTGAGACTACTCTTACATGGATCCCCTATCGTTATCTTATTCTATGATCTGTTGGCCAACGCTTACTTCAAGTTTAACTTGCCATGATTGCATGGTCTGGTTTCATAGTGCGTGACATATTTTTATGGCGTGCGCGCCTTATTATGGCGCGTGATGTTTCGCCCGTTTCTTCTGGTTAGAGTAATCACTGGTTATGATTAGCTCGTATCCACGATATTTCGAAGCCCTCTTAGTCTCCCCTATGCCCAAGAAGCTGAAGAAGAGAACTAGTTATGAATGATGATTGTAATTTCCTTCGTCAGTAGAATAATTAATGTAGATTTTATTTTTATGTCCGTGTCTATACTTTTGTCCGTTGAGGTCCTCTTGGGTTCGGACCTGGTAGGGAGGAATGTTGTGCCAGTGGCTCGACCATTGTGCCACATTGTTTCCTTGTCCCCCAATTTTCGGTCCGAACACAATTGTCCCTGTGTGCTAAGGTGCTGCAAAGCTAGAGCTAGTAGTAGCTCATACGTAGTTCGTAATTACAGTTGTAACGTAACGTATCCCGATACGTTCTACTCTATTGTACGTCCGCTCTCGTACAAGGTTATCTCTGCTCACTTGTCGTGTATTGAGTTCCATTATTAGGAGGTTACTATCCCTACACCAAAACGTAGTGGCGCTCGCCCAATAATGTACAAATTGGACAAGAAATGTCGAAAGCAACACCATGGCTGATCTTTGGACAGGTTTTTTGGACAACAAATACGTGTCGACATGTCCAAAAGGACATCTCGCCTCATTTGGACAACATCTTGTCCAAGTGATGTCCAAAGGTGGATTTGTCTACATTTTCCTCGAGAAATTGTCCAAAGCTTGTCGTTGGCACTTTTGGATAGTCTATGGTGAGTTGATAACGCTATCTTGCAATCTCGAAGCTTTCACACTTAGCGATACTAGCATCGATGACCAATGGCACACAATTACGTCTGGATCACATTGATTGCAAAGCTTCAACAGTTTATCTTCAAACGCATATGTCGCATATGTCTTTCGGTCCCGTACCTTGCAATTGTAAGCAAATTGTTTGATACAACACTACATATAAAGGCACGCACGT